TGCCTCCAGCCTGCCTCTGCCTGCCCACACAGAGCCTGGGGCTGATACCAAAAGGGTTCATTCCATTTTTACCCTGCCTGGGAACTTTCAGCACAGGAACAAGGCATGCAGGGGCTGCTTTCCCAGCAAGGATGGTTGGAAGACAAGAAGAAGACATCTGGCTCAAGAGTGCAGGGATAGAGAAAAGAAGGAATGAATCTGGGAACTTGGGGTGGGTTTTATGGAAACATCTAAATTGTAATTTGCATTTAGTGACTGTATATAAGCAACACACTGGTAGAACTACATGTCCATGTAACGTAAGGCATTATTCCATGTTGGACCTCAGGCCTGAATAAATGATACCCTCTGAAATAGCAAATTAGTGTTATGGTGTCCTATTCTGATATTTCAAACATTTGGTGACAGCAGAGGCTGACAGAACCAAGGAGTCAGCTGTGACACTGTGGAACCCCATGGAACAAAGGGTCCATTGTGATGCAGTGGAACCCCCCCCATGGAACCAAAAGTCCATTGTATCAGAGCAAGGCCTCATGGAACCAAGGAGAGCATTGCTGACAGTGTGGAAGCTCCTGGAGCCATGGGGTCATTGTGACAGTGTGGGGCTGCATGGAACCAATGGTCCATTGGGACACTGCAGAACCTTCTGGAATCAATGGGATCATGTTATGCTCTGGAATCTCATGGAACAAAGGATCCATGGTGACACTGCAGTGCTCAGACCATTGTTGACAGTGTGAAAGCTCCTGGAACCAAAAGTCCACTGTGACACAGCAAGGCCTCCTGGAACCAAGGGTCCCTTGTGGCTCTGTGGGGCTTCCCAGAACCGAGGAGACCATTTGGACACTGTGGGGCCTCATGGAACCACCTGGCACTGTGACACAGCGGGGCCACATGGAGCCAAGGGGCCACTGAGACACTGAGGAACCTCATGGAACCAAAGGTCCATTGTTACACTGAGGGCCCTGTGGAACCAATGGGACCATGGTGACACCGTGGTGCTCCATGGAACCAAGGGGCCATTCTGATTCTGCTTTGCCTCATGGAGCCAAGGGGCCACCATGACACTGCAGGGCCTCGTGGAACTAAGGCAGCCTTGTGACACTGCGGGGCCCTTGGAACCAAGGGTCCATTGGGAGATTGCAGGGCCTCATGGAACCATGGAGGCCATTAGGAACCTTCAGAACCCATTGGAACCGAGGGGCCATTGTGACACTGCAGGGCCTCATGAAATCAAGGGGACCACAGTGACACTGTGGGGCTCCATGGGACAGAGGGGCCATTCTGACACTGTGGAACTGAGGAGACCATTGCTCTGCTATGGGACATCATGGAACCAAGGAGGCCATTGTGACACAGCAAGGCCTCATTGAACCAAGGGCACAGTAGTGACACTGTGGGGCTCCATGGGACCAAGGGGGCATTCTTAAAGTGCAGAACCAAGGAGGCCATTGTGACACTATGGGGCATCATGGAACCACAGGTCCATTTTGACACAGCATGGCGGCATGAAACCATGGAGGCCATTTTCACACTTTGAGGCCTGGTGAAACCAAAGGGCCACTGTGGCACTTTGTGTCTCCATGGAACCAAGGAGTCCATTGTGACACTATGAGGCCCTGTTGGGCCAAAGGTCAATTTTGGCCCTGTGTGGCACCATGTAACCAAGGGATCATTGTGACCCTACAGGGCCACATGGAACTAAGGATTCATGGAACAATGTGGGACTCATGGAACCAAAGGTCCATTGTGAGGTTGTGACACCCCATGAAATACAGGACACCATTTTGACATGGCAGGGCTTCATTGAACAAGGCTCCATTGTGATACAGCGGTACCAAGGGGGGCACTGTGACACTGCTGGGCCTCATGGAACTAAGGGGGGACAATTGTGATGCTACAGGGCCCAATGGAAGCAAGGGGCCAGTGTGACACAGCTGGGCCTCATGCAGCCAAGGGGCCACTGGGATCCTGAGGAACCCAAAAGAACCAAGGGGCCATTGTGACACTCTGCAGCCTCATGAAACCAAGGAGGCCATTGTGCCATTGTGCAGCTCCATGGAACCAAGGAAACCATTTTGACACTGCAAGGCCTCATGGAAACAAGGGACCATTGTGACACTGCAGAGCCCAATGGAAGCAAGGGGCCAGTGTGACACAGCAGAGCCTCGTGTAGCCAAGGATCTAATGTGACACCAGCATTTTGAAACTGTGGGGCCCTGTGGATCCAAGGGAACAGGGAACAGGTCTGGTTGGCTTGGCCTGACTGGCTGAACTGCCCTTGGCATGTTGAGGGTCTGTTCCCATGTGCCCCTGAAACACTGGGGCTCTGGGCTTTCCTTCCTGTGGGAATGAACTGGCCTTCTCCTCCAGGTGCTCATGTCTAAAATCAGGATTCTGTTCCCAAAATTCTGTAAATCTGAGATACATAATCCAAGTTATTTATTCGGTTGCTCCTAGATGAAATCTGCCAGAACAGACAGCTCAGGCTGGCCTTGGCCTCTGGTGGCTGCTGTTCATCAGCCCCTGAAACACTGGGGCTCTGTGCTTTCCTTCATGTGGAGATCATGGTAACAAATCAGGGCATCAAGGAACCAAGGGGCCATTGTGACACTGTGGGGACGCCATGGAATCAAAGCAATCATTGTGCCACTGTTGGGCTGCATGGTTCCAAGGGGCCAGTGTGAAGCAGCACTATGGAAAAGTGCCACCCACCTTTCCAGGTGCCCACAGCCAAAATTGATACTCCCCCTGAAAAATTCCCTATATGCAAGATTCTCCCAGACAAAAACTGCCAGGACAGAGAGCTCTGGCTGGCCTTGGCTTCTGGTGGTCACCTCTCATCTCAAGGATGCCCTGAGGAAAGTATTTGAACAGGTTTGACTACTGGAACATCAATGAGTCTCTCCTCCTCTGAAAAATTCAGATGCTCTCCTGATCATTTGAATCTTTATTTCCTCATTGTGTATTATGCATGAAATAATATTTTCAGCCAGACAATATTATTCTTCTCACTCTATCAGTGTTATCTGACACAAAACACCTCCTCTACGTATGGATCCAGGTCACCTGTAAAGGCAAACACAAGAAAGAATGCAGCAGGAATGATTTGTCCCTGCTCCCATCTGTCCCATCTCCTCTGGAGCTGGAGGTGCAGCCCCAGCACTGGGCAGGGCTCAGGGGCTCACAAGCTCAGCTCCCACCCAGAGAACTTGCAGAGCCTGGGCTGCTCTTCTTGGCCCCTGCACGCTCAGCCAGGCTGAGATGGACACTGATGGTTTCTGGGCCAGGCTCTCGGAGCCCAGCCCAGCTCCCTGCAAGCTCTGCCAGCTGCCCTGAGCTCTGGGCAGCACCAAGGGCCTCTCTGAGCCCAGCCCAGCCCAGCCGGCTCTGGCCCCACAGCTCTGCTCAGGCCAGGCTGCTCTGGGCACTGCCCCACGGCCTCAGCCCCTGGCAAGGGCACAGCAGCAGCTGCAGCTGCCACAGGACTCAGCCCCACCATGGGGGAAGGTGCCTGGCCAAGGGAAAGGAGGCTCCCTGGCTGCCCTGCTCTCCTCTGCAGGAGATGCTGAGAGCTCTGCAGCCCCTGCTGCCATCCCATCTGCCCAGGGCAGCACCAGAGCCCCGGCCTTGGGGCCCTCAAGAGCTGCTCCTGTTCCAGGCCCAGGGCCCATCCCAAAGCTGGGCCAGCCACAAAGCTGTGCCCATTTCTGTTCATTGCTGCTCTGATCAGGATGGATCCTCAACACCTTGGAGGTTGGTGATGAATTTTACTTTTCCAGAGGCCTCTTCTATCTTGAGCTCTTCAGCTGAGAAATTCAGTGAGAAAAGCTCATAAACATTTGTTCAGAACACCCAAACAAGACAAGTCCATGGGAATAATTCAAGTCTCTGATTCTTCTGTGGTTAATTTGTTTTGAGAAGTGTATTCAAATAGAATATATTATATTAAAAATAGTTAGGAGACAATTGTTTTGTCCTGTTTAGTTTTCTTTTCTGTTTGTAGATTCAGAATCCGCAGTTGATATTGATCCCCAGCCCCTCCTTATGTAGCTTGAACAGATATGAAAATCAAGACCCTTCATTGCTGACAATCAATCAAGACTTTGTCCCTACCCCCACGCCACCAATTCCCTCATCCAACCCCTGGCACTCCTATGGAACAGGAATGGTGTGGCCAGCAGGAGCAGGGCAGGGATTCTTCCCCTGTACTCAGCATTGGTGAGGCCACACCTCGAGTGCTGTGTCCCGTTCTGGGCCCCCAATTTAGGAAGGCCATGGAGGGGTTGGAGTGTCCAGAGAAGGGCAAAAAGGCTGGGGAGGGGTCTGGAACAGAAATCTGGTTGAAAGGACATGAGGGAGCTGCGGTTGTATAATCTGGAGAAGGCTCAGGGCAGACAATACTGTGTTAGGGTGCAGGTTAGAATTGGTGAACTCAAAGGTTTGTCACAACAAAGCTGAGTGGTTTCCCTGGTGTCCCCCAGGCCTTGCTGGCCCCAGGGGCTGATGGCATTTGTGCTCCCTCAGGTTCATGTCCCCACAGCAACAGCATGGGGGTGCTGCCCCTGCTGTGTGCAATGCAAACAGGGGCTGCTGAGGCAGTGCTGCCGTGTCTGTGCCTGCAAGGATGGGGCACCTGTGTGAGCTGGGGGAGAGGCCAGGGCTGCAGAGGGGGGATGTTGTTGGCAGCTGCATGAGGACGCTCTGGGACGCTGTCCTGGGCTGTGCAGGGCACTGGGCATGGATCAGCCCCTGCTCTGCTGCTCCTTCCTGTCTGCCCCAGGGCCCTTGCAGCGCCCCAGCCGTGCTGTTTGCCCCCAGCCTGCCCACGGCCAGACTGGGGCTGCTCACGGGGCTTTTCTGTGCTGAGCATTGGCCTGGCCGTGTTCTTGAGAGAGCCTGGGCAAGGAGCCTGGAGCCCCCAGGCAAACCACCAAAACCAAGCAGAACTATCAAAGATTACTTTTATTACAAGTGATTTGCAAAAACTGGACAGCACTTTAGTGTTTCTGATACCCTCCAGTCATCAGTCTCCACACTGCAGCCTTGAGCTCCTGGTTCCTCAGGCTGTAGATGAGGGGGTTCAGGGCTGGAGCCACCACCGAGTACAGAACTGACACTGCCAGATCCAGGGATGGGAATGAGATGGAGGGGGGTTTTAGGTAGGCAAAAATGGCAGTGCTGAGAAACAGGGAGACCATGGTCAGGTGAGGGAGGCAGGTGGAAAAGGCTTTGTGCCGTCCCTGCTCAGAGGGGATCCTCAGCACAGCCCTGAAAATCTGCACATAGGAGAAAACCATGAACACAAAACAACCAAAACCTAAACATATAGCAAAAAATGAAATCCAAATTTTTCTGAAGGTGGAGTGTGAGCAGGAGAGCTTGAGGATCTGGGGCTCCTCACAGAAGAACTGGCCCAGGGCATTGCCTTTGCACAGGGGCAGGGAAAATGTATTGGCCGTGTGCAGCAGAGCATTGAGAAAGCCACTGGCCCAGGCAGCTGCTGCCATGTGGGCACAAGCTCTGCTGCCCAGGAGGGTCCCGTAGTGCAGGGGTTTGCAGATGGACACGTAGCGGTTGTAGCACATGACGGTCAGGAGGGAAAACTCTGCTGACATAAAGAAAAGAAAAAAGAAAACCTGTGCAGCACATGCTGAGTAGGAGATGGTGCTGGTGTCCCAGAGGGAATTGTGCATGGCTTTGGGGACAGTGGTGCAGATGGAGCCCAGGTCGCTGAGGGCCAGGTTGAGCAGGAAGAAGAACATGGGCGTGTGCAGGTGGTGGCCGCAGGCTACGGCGCTGATGATGAGGCCGTTGCCCAGGAGGGCAGCCAGGGAGATGCCCAGCAAGAGGCAGAAGTGCAGGAGCTGCAGCTGCCGCGTGTCTGCCAGTGCCAGCAGGAGGAAGTGCCTGATGGAGCTGCTGTTGGACATTCCTTCACTCTGGCCATGGTGGACTGTTGAAACAAGGCATTGACAAGCTCTTTGAGTCAATCCTATGGGGTTATTTTAGGAATTCCCTCAAAACTACTTCTCTACCTGTGGGGCCACTTCACTCAACATTTTTATTTTTGAGCTTGGGTTTGTGCTGCTGAATTACTGCCTCATCTTCAGCATTGCTCTCAGGCTAAACCCCAGGGAAGCCCAGAGGGAAAACAGGGCTCCCTGTGCCCCAGGGCAGTCAGAACTACTGGAACCACACAGGTGCCATTTGATCATTACACCACCCTCTAGTTCAGCATGATTAAAATTAAAATGTGCTTGAAAAATAAAGTGGAGTTTTTAAAGACTAGATTTCTAAAGTCAGTTTCTCTAAGCCCTTCTCTCTTTCCCTGTGCAGCTGGACAGGATGGGATACCAAGGGTTGCTCTGGCTCTCTGCTGCCTGCAGTTGTGCCTACTGGGAGCTGTTTCTCTCTATCCAAGCCCTGTCCCTGCCAGTGCTGCCAGAGCCCAGCCCAGCCCTGGGGGCTCAGCTCTGCCCTGCAGACCCCTCCCAGCACAGGGCACTGCCCAGGGGCATCTCCCTGGCAGCAGGGCCTTAAGGGCAGGCCAGACAAACAGAGATGCTGCAAGCCAAGGTGCTGCTGCTACTGCTGTGTGTAGGGAGAGGAGGCTGGGGAGGCACTTTCTGAGGGAGATCTGAGGCCCATCTGCTGCTGCCCAGGCTGACAGTGAAGGAGGCTCAGTGAAACAGCCAAAGCTGACAGCCCCTTTCCCTTCCCTTTAGGAGAAAGCTGAGAGCAGCCCTGGCCATGCAGCACCATCTCCAGAGCAGGAGGAATCTGCCCTGATGGGGGTGGCTCCTTGCACCTGGAACTTCTCCCCTGCAGCGTCCATGGGGAGCTGCCAGGCAGGCTGAGAGCTGCCCCTGGCAGGTGGCACATGCCCTGGGCTGGCCAAGAGCCCTGAGGGCTGCAGGAGCTGCTCTGCAGGACAGCCCTGGGCAGCCCTGGCTGCAGCCCCAGCTTCAGCCCCTGCAGCCGTCCCTGGCAGCAGGAGCCGTCCTGCCCTGTCCCTCTGACGGTGCCCAGGGCAGCCCCGCTCTGCAGCACATCCTCCTCCTCCTCCTCCTCCTCCTCCTCCTCCTGCTCTTCCTGTGCCACAGAGAAACTGGGAGAGTCCTCCTGACACATCCCCCAGGCTCTGGGGTGTGCTGGCTCCAGGAGATCCCTCCAGGAGCACAGGGGACATTGCCCTGCACCCACACACTCACCATGCACAGGGCTGTGAAGATCTTTCCCCAAGTGAAGTCTCAGCTCAATGTCTTCCCAATCCTGATTGCCTTCAGCCTGTCTCTGCCTGCCTCCTGTCCCCTCAGTGCCTGCAGGCAGAGCCCTCAGCCCTGCTGGGCTGGGAGAGGAGCTGGCCCTGGGAAGAGCTGTTCCTTTAAAGCTCAGCAGCACAGACACAGCACAAGGACTTTAATGAGCCTCTTGGGGATTTGGTGTTGTTTACATCAGACTCAGTCCCTGAGAGAGTGTTCAAAACACTTCTCAACAACTCAAAATTAAATTCAAACTCCAAAAGTTTCTTGAAGTTTTAATGTGTTCCACTGAGGGACACAACTGGGAAAGTGTCCCCAGGTTCCAGTTAGAGCAGAACCCTGGAGGCAGTGATGACAGCTGGGGACAAACAAGGCCAAGGTGTCTCTGGTGCTGAGCAGAGCTGGATGTGTTTGAGGAATGCCAAGGGCCAAGGCCTGAGCCCCAGGGCCTGGCCAGGCAGATCCTGTCCCTCCCTCCTTGCTCAGGGCTCTTGCCGGGATGGGCACTGGCATGTGGGGATGTGCAATGCCAAGGGCAGGAGCATGGGGCGGCCCCTGCCAGGCTGCTGAGCAGGGACAAGGAGGCCATGAGGCCCCAGGCCTGCAAGGGTCACTTGTCTCCTGCTCCTGCCTCAGGCCCAGGCCCAGCAGCCATGGCCAAAGTGCTGCCCAAGTTGGCTCTGGCAGGGCTGTTGTGCAGCTGCTGCACAGCCCTGGTGCTTCTGAGGCAGATGAGATGTGACCACCAGAGGCCAAGGCCAGCCAGAGCTGACAGGTTTTTCTCTGAGAGATACGCTTGCATACAGCAAGGTTTTAGGGCGGAGTACCAATTTTGTCCATGGGCGTCTGAAAAGAGAGACTGTTCTTTCCATAGGAAGGAAAGCATGGAGCCCCAGTGGTTCATGGGCAGGTGAGAGGCAGCCATTGGCATTCTGAGATGAGCCAGACCCGTCAGGTCACCCCTAGGAGGCCAAATCAGCCAGATGTGTTCCATGTTCCTCTCATTCCATGGGCCCCCATAATGTTCCAGTGGTTCCCTTGATTCCATGAGTCCCTGAGGTGTCACAAGGGCCTTGTGTTACACGAGGCCCTGAAGGGTCCTAATGGTCTCCATGGTTCCACGAGGCCCCACAGAGCCATGGTGGTCTCTTGGTTCCATGAAGCCCCATGGTGTCACCATGGTATCCCAGAGTGTCACAATGGTCTCCATGGTTCCACCAGGTCCTCACAGTGTCACTGGGGTCTCCATAGGAAGGAAACAACTGAGCCCCAGTGTTCCAGGGGCGGCTGAGGGGCAGCCACCAGAGGCCAAGGGCAGCCAGACTAGACAGTGCTGGCAGATTTTGTCAGGGAGTCATCCTTGCATATAGGGAATTGTAGAGGCAGAATATCAATTTCAGCCATGGAGGAGAAGGACAGTTCTTTTCTATAGGAAGGAAAGCACAGAAAACTGGTGTTTCAGGGCTAGATGAAAGATGGCCATCAGAGGCCAAGGCCAGCCAGGCCTCTCTGTCCTGGTACCTTTTGTCTGAAAGCAGTCCTTGGATATAGGGAATTTTGGAGGTGGAATCCCAATTTTGGCCATTTCTGCATAGGTAAGAAGGACGGTTCTTTTCCACAGGAGGGAGAACACAGAGCCCAAGTGTTTCAAAGGCAGAACAGGAGACATGGCTCCTGGGAGGCCAAGCCAGCCAGACCTGTTTGTCCTGACAGCTTTCACCTGGGAGCAATCCTTGGATGGATGGAGTTTTGGAGGTGGAATCCCAGTTTTGGCTATGAGCACCTGGTTGAGGTGGATGGTTTTTCCAGAGGAAAGAAAAGCACAAACTCCAAGGTTTTTAGAAGAAGTTGAGAGGTGGCCACCCACTGGCCAAGGTAGCCAGAGGTGTCTCTCCTGGCACCATTCATCTGTGGGAAATCTTTGGATTTTTGGAGGTGGAATCTCAATTTTGGCCATGGGCACCTGGCCAGGAAGGAGAGTTATTTTCAATAGGAAGGAAAGCACAGAGCCCCAGTGTTTCAAAGGCAGATGAGAGCCAGCTCTTCAGAAACCAAGGCCAGTCAGACTTGTCCCTCCTGGCAGCTTTTGTCTGGAAGAAATCCCTGGATATAGGGAATTCTGGAGGTGGATTCCCAACCTTGGCTATGGGTGCCTGAATGTGAAAGGTGTCTTTTTCCCATAAGAAAGAAAAGCACATGGTCCCAGTGTTTCAAATGCAGATGAGAGGTGGCCCCCGGGTGGCCAAGCCAGCCAGATCTGTCTGTCCTGCTGGATTTCATCTGGGAACAATCTTTGCATATTTGGAAATTTGGAGGAGGAATCCTGATTTTGGCCATGGGCACCTGGAGGAGAAGGGCATCTCTTTCCCCACAGGAAGGAGAGCCCAGAGCCCCAGTGCTCCAGGGACAGATGAGCAGCAGCCCTCGACATGCCAGGGTCAGCTGGACCTGTCAGGTGGCCCCCAGGAGGCCAAACCAGCCGCAGACCTGTTCCATGTTCTCTTGGTTCCATGGGGCCCCTGAGTTTCACAATGGTCTCCTTGATTCCATGAGGCACCTCAGTGTCACCATGGCCCCTTGGTTCCATGAGGTTCTGTGCTCTCAGCAATGGTCTCCTTGTTTCTGCAGTGTCACAGTGGCTGCACAAAGGCCTGAGGGTTTAAAAGAACAGAGCACGAGCTCAGCCCATGGTCTGGACCCTCCTTCTCCTGGGGTTTGTGTCTCACCCACACTGGAACCCAAGCACTTGGTAGCTGAATGTGTGTCTGTCTCTCTTTGTTTTTAATTGTTATCCTCTTTACCTTGAACATTTTTTGGGTAACTCAGGATCTTAAGGGTTAGAGGTATCCAGGATAAATGGGCTAAGTTAATGAAGTTAATACTATAATGAGAGCTTTTTGTTGAATTGGATGTTGTATTCAATTCTTTGCCAAAGTTCCTTGATTTTCTGTACTTTGCCAGTAAAATTTTGTGTCATTTTGACCTCTTGAGAATATCTGACAGGTGTTTCTCCTGTGCACCAAACTCGAGGAAAGGAGCCTTTGGTCACCCCAAGCATTTGAGTGTTCTGGGGTGTCCCAGCCCCGCAGGCTCACAATGGCCTCTTGTTTCCATGAGGCCCCGCTGTGTCACACTGGCCCTCGGTTCCCTGAGGATCTGGAGTGTCACACGGGTTTGTAGCATTTGTCCTTGCTGCCCCTCACATCCCCCTGGCCCACCAAGAGCCCCGAGGCAGCCGTGAGGGACAGGCCCTGCTGGCCCAGGCTGGGCTCAGGCCTTGGCCTTTCTGCTTCCTGCAGCCAAGCCAGGCCTTGCTCAGCATTGCAGTTCCCTGCTCAGAGCCTTGGGCTCCCTGCAATCCTGGCCTCAAGGATCTGCTCTCACCAGGCCCTGGG